TTCCCCACCCCTAAAATAACCCTGGGGTTTTGTTTTGCCTTACATGTTCTTAATTTTTGGCTCAAAATGGCTTAATTTTCAGCTCTCATGCCTAGTGAAAACATTCCTCCCAGGCTCCCCAGTAGCATTATCAGTCAGGTAATTAAGCCACAATATTATTTGATCTCTTTAAGCATCTTCAAGTTTTATAAATGAGGTTTTGTATTACTTTTGGTTGCTGACATCAGTAAATGTTTCAAAACACATTAGCCATCACTCAAAACAAAAGCGATGAACTTTGCCCGTTTCACCCACAGACCTTCAAATAAAGCCAGAGCCAGGCAAAAAAGCAGGGCGTAACCACAGCCTGTTACCTTAGGCAACACAGTTGACTGAGCCATGTTCATCACCCGCTCTGCAAATCTGTTCCTTAGGTAACTTCTGAGGGATCTTCCCAGGTCTCATCTCCTGCAACCCCATGGCTCTCCTGGTCCCTGTGGTATCCACGCTGCAGGAGCCATTTCCTCCATCGCTATCACCTTGTGGGCTGTGCAGTCTTGCCCTTGTTGGGCATCTCAGCAAAACAAACCAAACCTCTTGAGATTTTTAGATACCAGATGTTGGGAGCATCCATTCACCCAGAAGACGTCTTCATCTGCTGAACTGGCTGAGGCTGAGCTCTGCACATGGCCCCTTACTCCAGTGCATTTATTCCCACCTGTCACTAAGGAACAATGGCTTTTTCTGAGGTTACCAGTTCTGAAAGTATTCACAAATACTCATAAATTTTAGTAGCAGAGGCCAAGGCGTTTACTAGCTCTGTAACTCCCCTCCTCGGCAAGACATCAATGATTTAGAATTAAAGTTCTAATCATAAGTACTGACATAAGTCATTAACAAGCAGCTGCTTTAGTAAATGCTTAATTATTACAGGTCCTTACAGAGCTCAGTAGAGTGGTAAGTTTCTTCTATTTACCCACCTTCTACCAGTGTGTTCATAAACATCTATAAAGCAAAATGTTCGAGTTTGCAGCTAGCTCATGATAAGCCATCAATGAGTGAAAGCCAAACATAAAACATAAATATTTTATCACAATAAAAGTGCTACTGTAGTTTGATAGGCAGGAGGGAAGTTCAACAGCTTTTTTTTAACCTCTCATAAATAGTTTCTCAGAAATAGGCTTGGAAAGTTTAAATCAATGGAAAATTCAGATCAAGTTCAGTAAATAATTGTTAGCAAAAGTATGGGAAGAATTGAAAGATTCAAAGGGGTTTCTTTCAACATCTTAAATAACTTTTTCCAGAGCCAAGATACATCAGTCCAGGGCACAATGCAAACCACGACTGAGCTGAAATTATTGTTTCCATTTCCTTTCTTCCCAAAAAAGCAAGAGTGAAAACATTTCAGGACAGCAAGAAATCATTTTCTCTCTTATTACAGAAACCCAAGTTCCTGGTAGCTTACAGACACTTTCAACCTGACAGTGATGCCAAGTACTAGCTACGGAAAACATCTGACGTGAAAAGCAGCAAAAGGTCTTGAGCTACATGGGCAGAGGGTTGCACGGGCAGAACGGGGCCACAAGAGCAGCGTCAGCTCTTGGGGGTTCTCCTCTCATCACATGGCCAATCCCACCACTTCAATGCACTGGCCAATGCTTAAGCAGTGGGATCAGTCGAGGATGGTTTCCTATACGGTTACGTGAAGACAACATTCTCCTTGGGTGGCTCTGCTGTGACTGCTCTTAGACCCTCACTGCAGGCAGAATTAAAATTAGTTTGCAAAGTCAACCATAAATTAACATTTTTTCTATCTCAAATACATGTAGATGTCCGAGAGCATCTCCCCGTTACACTAGGCAGGTCTTGCTCACCTTCTGCAAATGGGGAAGCAACAACACTACCTACAAGGGGCTAAAACCCACCAGCAGCTTTCCCTGAAGAACAACAACAAACTTGTAAGTGCTCCAAAAAACAGCCTGGAGCTAATGTTCAGCCAGCAGCTCCATCCACCAGCCACTGCCTCTCCTAGGAGTGACGTTAAGGCAGCTAAGCCAAGCTCCAGGTTTTGTCGTCTTCAAACAGCTCAATATAAACCCTGACCTGTAGCTTCCAAGGGAGGCTAAGAAAGGTTAAACGTACCCCATTAAATGCTGCAAGGGTGCAGAGTGCTGGGTTTTCCACCTCCTGCTCTGGTTTTGGGAAGTATCTGTCAACCCCTCTTGCCAGCTATGGACACTCCCTCCTGCCTCCAAACCCACTCTGCAAAGTACATACGATTTCTGCAGGATATAAGATACTATAGTGCAAATGGGATTGACACTGATGGCTTGTGCTAGGAGCTGTCACACAAAGCAAAAGCAGGAGGACAAGAGAAAGGAGCATTAAGACTTTGCTTGCTCGGTTGTATATTTTGGAATAACTTGCATCTACCCTGCCACGGGCTACGCTTTGGCCTCAGTATGAGGCTGGATGCACTCAGAGGTCATGAAAAGCTGAGAAATACAAGTCCATTTCCAGTACAGTCATCCTTTCGTTGGGTTAAAAATTTGAAGTGAATCAGAAACCAAAGACACTTATAAAAATGCTGTGATGTGAATTTCCATATCTCTGCAAAGTTCCTACTAAAGGCAAGTAGAAGGTAAGTAGCTCTTGTTTTTTTTTTTTATGTCACCCATTTAAAATTTTGGTATCCAAATGGATACACAACTACCTCAAGTTTTGCAAGAAAAAGAGAGGGGAAAAAAAGCCCGTATCAGCTCTTCTAGAGAAACAGATGACACAGAGGAAAACCAGGATCCCCCTTCCTTGTTTCCAGCCACAAAGTCCTTCTCTTCCCTCATTCTTCACAGACAAAACCCCAGCTCTTTTGTATCTTTAATAACTCTCAACTGAACCACCAGAAGTTGCTCCTACTGACACCAAAGACCTGTGCAGCTCATCGGGTTGAAACTGGCTGGGTGGGACCAGCCTCTTACTGACTGGGATGTCTCCAGTTTGGTGCAGTTTCCATCCCCATCCAGCCACCATGTCCTGCCCCGCTGCTGCTCACTCACACACAACCACACCACCCCAACAGCTCGTTCCTGCAGCCGCCTCGCCAAAACGTGCTATTCAGAAGATAAACAACAATGGAGGTGTTCCTTTGGCATCTGCAGGTCAGCTGTTTGCTCCCCCCTCCCCTTTTTTATGTTTTTTTTGGATGTCAAATACAGGAGCAGATGCTCCAGGCTGATGGGAGCTGGCTGGGAGAGCCTTTCTGGCTGGAGGGAAGACAAGAGTGAGGCAGGACAAAGCTGATAACTATGGCCCCTCTCTATTAAGGATGAGCCTTTAATCCTTTTATTCACCCTCCTGCCACCTACAGCTTTTTCTGGCTGCTTCTAAAAAAGACCTTTTTTTTTTTTAATAATAATCAGCTCATTTTAGGCAGTGGCACTTAGTCAGCCTAAAGCCCACCCAAGGACACTTTCACTGCAATTTTAAAAGAAAAGGGCAAAGCCACAAGCATCATTAGTGCCATAATTTTGCTTCTTACATACAAATGAGAAAACAAAAAGCCCATCATAACATAGAAATGAAAACAGGAATAAGATGGGGCTAAAGGAAGGCGCTTGCTGCATCCACCTTCATCTTCGACAAAAAAAACCCCGCCACCCTACATTCTGGAGGAGGCTGCAGCATGAAAAAGCCAAGTTTCTCCTCTTCCAATTCTCAACATTGAAATTACTACTTTTCTTGGCCTATTACCCTGTTTTAAGCTGAAGGGGGACAGTTTGTACGAGTCCCTCTTTGGATCAAATCAGTTCAAGAGCAGCAAAGCATTTTCTATACCCTACACTAACGCAAGGTCTGGACTAACTCTTCCTGCAGTAACACCGGAGCCAAGGGTTTCAGTGGGAACTGGATGGGACCAGAGTGAAACACACCATTACCCACAAAACACATAAGAAACTGCCAAGAGATTAGAAGAACATTAGAAATAGCCAACAACTCACAGAATACTGAGCCACCACGATGTCGTCACCAAACCATCTGCACCAAAATACTGCTAGAATAAATCCTACATTTCACATCCAGTCAGATGACATATTTTTACACCAATACCATTAGTTAGTAAAAAGCATGACAACTTCAAAATAAGAAGGCAAATCATCTATTATATATGTACATGTTTTAATTAATTTTAAAAATGGTCTACATTTAAGGATAGATTTCAAGGGTTCCCTTGTATTTTTTTCTGTTACATTAGATTATACCTGAATAATCTGCATAGTAACTTTAACATTTCCGTTTTCTTCCTTTTTTTTTGTTTCACTGTGAAAATATCAGTTGCAGGTAGCAATGTTAACATCTCAACGACAATCACAATACGTGCAGGATGTCCAGCCAGAAGCATTTCTCAGTTGACTTGCAGTAGCATGGCACTTTATAATTTGTATATCAATACTCTTTTATTATTATTGTTTAAACTTTAATTCAGATGTGGCTCAAGAAGCAAAAACAAACTTTCTTTACTCAGCCTCAAGAGTGGGGTCAGCTCCTCAGCTGGCTACAATCTGCACCACTGGAGTTAGTCCAGTTTATACCAGCTTGAGGTTCTCGGCTCCCCTCCGAAACACACCTGTATTGCCTTCATGGTTTCCTTAACATGAGTGCAAGCTTCAGGAATGTGGTTTAAGTCCCTTAGTTAAACGATCTTAATGATGTCTGTGCAACAGGTGTGTCCCCCAGCCCCGCTCCCTGCATAGACTTGAACACAGAGGGCTGAACGCTGCCAAGAATGGCACACCGAGGAGGTAAGAGTACCTTAGAGGGAGGAGGAAAAAAGGAAGAATAAAAAAAAAAAAGCTGATTTTGCCCCTAATATTAAATTTTGACATGTGAAGCATTTCTGTTTCCAGATGATCAGCCCAGGTTCTTAAGAAGGTATTCATATCACCTACTGCCACAGACAGACCCCTAAAGTCAGATGCTCCGAGTCCTCTTACAGAGACAGCTGTATTAAAGCCTAACCTTAACGTGTGTGCCTCCATGTGCATCCACGATCAGGTGTTGTGAATACCATCTCTTGCCTCCCATAACCTTACCTCACCCTTAGAAAAAAAAGTGCTTTTGCTTTTTCTACCTGATAGGTATTTGGGCTGCTCGATCCTGTCCCCTATCCCATATGTTTGTACTGAGATCTGTCCCGAGGAATTTGCACTTGGTTGGCTGTCAGCTTGTGGTGGATATGATAAACACAGAGGGTTATCACGATAACCAACCCCAGTATCAGGCCCAAAATTAGAGGCAGGGTTTCTTCTAACTGCTCCCTCTGGTCCACTGGGCACTTGTGTTCTGCAGGGAAAAAAAAGAAAAGGGAGAAAGAGAGAAATGAGTGAGACATTGAAAATCCGAACTCTTGCTGCAGTAGCAAACCAACTTCCCCGGAGTCACGGCTCTGCCCCGGGGGTCCCTGTGCAGCAAAAATAGCCACAGCCACAAGGAGAGACAGCAACTGTCATCGGCGTCCCAGAGAAAATCAATTGCTTTGGAGGAAAGTGAAATCACAGTCACAACACAGGGTCTGGAGGGAGAAGCAACATCTACCAAACCAGCCAACGTGGTGGGAGAAAACACCTTCATGCCCATAAGCTCCCCTTCAGGCTTCTGGCACACCAACAGCCTTGTTGGGAATGGGACAAGCCAAAGTACAAGTTTCCTGAGCATGGCTGAGCACCCGTTTTGTTTATTTAGTCACAGAGTCTATAAATATGAGAATGCAAGACCTCAACATCAGGAAGTCTGCATCACACTTACCCTGCTCATCGTTAAAAGATTTTTCCCCCCCTCTATCTGCAAGTTGACACAGATCTAACAGCATCTCTCTCTGTTCTCTCTCAGCTCCCCACAGGGAGTTTACCAGCACTGGCAGAGCACACGTGTGTTTGATCGAACAGCATCCTGGCACTCCACATTTTTTGTCAAATATGGCAAAGGATGAGCAGAAGCAACATGAGCCTCTCCGGTGTCTTTCTCTCTGGCCTACAAGTCTCTTATCATAGTCTAATAAACCATTAGAAAATTAACAACCACCACACAATGGGAAAACACTTTTCTATCCAGCTTGCAAAGGCACAGTCACCAAGATTAGGAAACACATTATGCTGGTAATACCGGCTCAGCTCCCTTACACTTCCAGAGTCTACTGCAGGCCTGAATGACAGGATCACAATTTACTTCCCACCCCCCGACAGGACTGTTGCTTATCCGTGCTGATGGACAGGCAGAGCTGATGCTGCCGAGATGGGGCTGTCAGACCAAGAAGAAGAAATATGCCAACTCTGGAAAAAAAAAGGTTATGGGGTACAGGAAGGACAGTGCTCTGGCCCCTGGATCATCATCTTCACTACTAGAATTGTGCTGAAAACAATGAAAAACAACAACCACAAAAAAAAAGGCTGCATGTTAGATGAGCAGATACAAAGGACACCGCTAATTCTTCCCATCGCTGAAGACTGTCCAGATGGGTTCCCCAGGCAGCTTGACTGCAAGACGCAGAGATCTGTAATAACCACAAATGGCAAACGCTCTGCAAATCTAATGGCATGTGGCAAAGAGCCAGAAAAACCCAGAGACCCCCCAGGCCGAGGCAGGAGGTGACAGCAGGGTCATATCTCCAGCAGTGTCAGCACCTCTGGGAGCTCCGTCGGGTCCCGGCGCAGAGCCATCCTCCCAGAACCAGGCTCAGCAGCAATGCCATCAGGAAACATTTCAAGCTGTAAATGAAGTGAAACAAAAGAGAAAAAGTGAAACGTAGTCTTACAAACATGTCCTTTTCGGTTGCAGTTGCTCACTGTTTCACCAGAGGAGCGATTAATCACCAGGACTGTGTTACAGGCAATTCAGCAATTGCTGCAATGCAGGGGTTTTGTTTGTTTGTATTAAGGAGAAAGGGGTAAAAAAAACCCCACCTTAATTATTATTTAGCTCCCAAAATCGGGTTTCTAGAGCTTTATGAAATTCTTCCTGGTTTAGGATGCTAAGGCCTGACCAGACTCTCAGTGCCAAGGCAGAGACACAGCGGCAGGTTGGCATCCCCGGACCTGACTGCAGGAAAAAGCCACGCATGGGGTAGTGCCAGCGGTGCTCTGACCCCCCGGCCCACTGCCCACGGGCCGGCACAAAGCAGCACCCCTCCTACAGGAAGGATCCGTGCTGAAGGAGCTCACCATGCGGCCGCAGACAGCCCGACGGGACCGGGCGTGCTGATGTGCCAAATAGCATTTTAGTCCAGCCGCTGCAATCTCTTCCTGCGGGCACAAATTTTTACCTTGAAAGTCATTCAGCTTAAACCCTACAGAAAATGTAAACAAGTCTGCTGTAAACCCAGCGGAAGGCGTTCACCCCAAACGTGGCAGGTTTGCCCGCGCACCTTTCCTTACACAAGAATGTTGCCGTGTTTGTAGGGAATGGGGTGAAGGCAGAGCAGTCTGCAGCCAGCAAGGGTGGCAAAGCTAAAAGTCCCAGTGCTGTGATGCAGAGGACTGACCCAACTCTAAAGCACTCGTTTGCAATATTTGAATTCCCAGCTTTTGCCAAAGCAAACTGGCTGCAGAACACAAAATGTGCCAGAGGACATGGCCAAAGCTCTCTGGTGTCCACAAGGATTGAAGTGTCAAGAGTCACAACTCAAAAAGGTGTCAATTCTTACAAGCAGCCAAGGAAGGTAGTTCTTTATCCTGACAATTTTGAAGAGGATAAAAAAAATAAGCAAAGCAAAGCTTGCAGTCTGCAGCAGCACACCTACAAACCCTGCTGCTCTCCCCGGCTGGACCCTGCCACACTTCCCTGGGCAGAAAGCACTCTGCCTCTGCAGCAAAGGCACCCTTGCACAGCAGCCCCTCCGGCCTTAGCAACGCCTTCTTCCCAGACACATCCATTTTCTCCTGTTGGAGCAGATCGCCAAAGTCTGGGAATGGGGCTGTGGGGAACCCAGCATGGAGGCACAGGCCAGTCCTAAGCACAAACACATCTGCAGCAGAACTAAGGCTCTCCAGATGCTGACTGCTAGGAGGCTGAAATTTTGTATTTTCACATTATACTAATGTTAAAAATTAATTAAAAATATAATGATAAAATACATAATTTTACACAAATAAAAATATTTTCACATTTATAACAACGTACGTTAACATTTATACAGCATTTTTCACCCCCAGTTCAAAGCACTGCATAGGTATTGAGGTCCACAACACCATGAGGAGGTAGGTAACAGGTATCATTCCTGGTCTACCGGCAAAGGAAAATGCAAAGGGGGAGCGGGAGGGGAGAAGCGTTTGCATCAAGTCCACAACAGACACAAATTCAGACACTCAACCCCATCAAGCACAGTGCAGGCAGGTGGGCTGGTTGATGCACAGCAAATGAAACACTATCACACTGGGAACTGCTATGTATTTCAAATCAATGCCTTCTGCAGGAGAACAGCCCTTTCCATCAAATTTTCCTGAGTATTTTGTTTCGGGTCACAGGAATCTCAGCGTTTGCCCAAATTGCTGGGTTTTACCCTCAGTCCAGGAAAGCATAAAGGTCCCTGGCAAATTTTAACTATGTGAAAAGCTCAAGTGATGCCGGGAGTTTTCCTGCATCCCGCACACAGTGGGGTGACCCCTCTGCCAGAGAGGTGCCACCCCGCAGCCCCAGTCCTGGCCTCGTCAAACAAAGACTGTGGGTGGATATAAAGGAGGCATTTAGGTACGTTCCCCATTGTTCTTTTGTGCCGTGCTTCCTCCGACTCCGCGCAGCACCCAAGCGCACGTATCGCCACGGTTTCTATGGTGAGTGCTCGTCCAATTTCAGTACTAGGCTACGAAACCACCCAACAGGCCCATTTTCTTGTTTCAGCATCTTTCTGCAGACCAAATAGCAGCAAGGCAAAAAAACCAAAACAAAACAAAACCCCCACCCACTTGTTTCCTACAGTCACGACCGTAAGCCTGAGGACCAGTTGGCAGGGACTGTTGGAAAGGATGGAAAGGATAGAAAACCAGCACAGTTGTCTGGCACAACAGGATGGATCTTTGAGATTTTGAGATGAGTGTTTGTAAGTTAGCCTAAAAAAAGAAAAAAAGAAAAAAAAAAGCCCGCATACCTTGCGAAGAGGAGCTACTTGGTGCTAAAGACCCTTAAGAAAATACGGCCCTTGCTTGGGGCTGCTTAGAGGGTGATGAGACCTCCCAGGATCCTGGTCCCTAATTCTCGGGTTTTGTATCCCTTTGTACTAGTATTCTGCATTATTTTGATTAAAAAAAAAAAAAAAGACATTACAATTTCTTTGGGGGTCTTTCTCCAATTTAAATGTTCTCCTCTCCCCTTCTTGATCCAGCTCTTTTTACCAATCTTTTAAGCTGAAAAACATACACACGCTTTCCTTATTAAAAAAAATTAAATTTCCCAAGCTCAGAATGAAAAAAATATTCTGCTGCTTCTGTACTGAAAAAGGTAAATATATATTTATTTATCGATACATATGTACACGTAGGTAATTGTGAGGGTTGGAAGCAGTATCTTAAAAAAAAAAGAAAAAATATATTCTAGCACATGAGTTTAAGCATTCAGAAAATAAAAGCAGCCCGATCACCCCCTACAAGCTTTTTAATCTATTCCAGACAGGACAGCATTAGGACAAATGACAAAATCTTTCCCTCCATTTCTTTGTGGTAAAAGGGCCCCGACCCTCCCACATCTCGGCAATTCTTCTGCTCTAGCAGGTCTCTTTCACTATTCTAAAATATTTTAAAATGTTCTGTGGCTTGTTCATAATTAATACGAATTTTACCTAATGGGAAATTAATGAACCAAAAAGGAGAAGGCTAATTACTGTAATTTAAGATTGGCAGTGATTCTCAGACCCCACAAAGGATCATGTTTTGCCATGCATGTGCCGAGGACATGCTGGTCTGCAGGGCTGGTGGGGACATGCCGCTGGGAGAAGTGGCAGAGCCCCATGTGAAACTTCCCTGACAAATACCTCACGGGCATTTATGACCATCCTCTCCAGGTGCTCTTTGCTAGTTTACTTCCAATGGAATTCAACAAAAAGACATCTCATTGAATAATGACAGCAGCAACAAAAAAACCCAGAAAGCTTGACAAAGAAAGAAATGATGCTTTCCTCAGAAGAAAAAACTCCCCACGTACGTTTAAAGATTGCTAAACCTACCAGGGTCTCCTCACGTCCTGGAGAAAAAAAAAAAAACCTGAACTACAACAACAAAGGAAAAAACCCAACACCAACCAACCAAATTTACTACCTGATATGAAAGAGCATATAATGAAAAGGTAAGTATTTCCCTTTGGCAACGAACCCCGAGTTTGGTTCTTTTAACTGCGAGCTCTTGGACTTGACAAGTTTGGTATCCAGAGACAGAGCAGCTAAAACCGAGTCCAGACTAGCATGGTTTAAATACGCTTTTCTCAGCCTCCACGGTCTGCCCAGCCAAACCCCGAGTGCAGGAAGCTTAGATCCACAGGAGGAGAGAGAGGATGAAGAAAAGTGCCAACAAAAAAATGACAGGAAACTATTACATTCTGCCTTTTTCTCCCTGTAACCTATGCAAAACATCATATTGCTTGGGGGGGGGGGCAAGATTTATTTGTGCCCACGGATAAAACCTATTCCATACTACACTGGCCTTGCCATGAGTAATTCAGCCACGCAGAGCTCTGCCAGAGTCAGCATACATAATAGCATATATTTACTACATCAGTTAGAGGAATGTGAGTCATGAGCGTAAGCGCTTGGCTCTGAAGTCAGTGCTGGTTTTTTATTGTGTTCTAAAATATTTCCCACACACAAAATAAAGCCTGACATTTTTAATGCTAGACTTGAAAATAACACCATCATTTTCTAGCTCATTATTAAAAGATTTGGCTATTACAAATTTTATTTGCATCTTGTTATAATAATGGAGTTAAGTAATTTGCTAAGATGGCACCATGAAACAGGGACGAGTCTCAAAGCCCTAATTCAGGTGAGCATATTTACGCTCCCTCACCCAACCGGATGGGAAAGGCAGGGGGAAGTCAGGGAGGATGAGCACCACGGGTTCCTCACGATACAGGCAGGCAAAATCTGCAGGAATCCTGCCTCACGGCAGCATTGCTGCCAACTACAGTACAGTACAGTACCCTTTGATATGAACAGCACGCATTAACTCCCATTTTCTTTTATCCACAATTAATGTTAAAAGACACCCAGGAAGAGGAACAGTGTCCCGTGTTTGGTGCACAAGGCGCCTCACTGAAGTCCCCATTACGCTTCCTTCACTCTTGCAATGAGCGTTAATCAAACTGAAGCCGGCAACATGCAAGTATTTCCTCCCACTGCAGCCCCAAGATTTCCTCAGTGCGCAGCGGCCCTAAAAAGCTCCTGGAGCTGTACTGAAGCACCTTCCATGCTGCAGAGGAGACACCTAAGCCTTGCAGGGCTCCCCAGGGAGCAGGCAGTTCTGGGGCTTGCTGGCAATCCAGACAGATGAGTCCTTACAGAACTCATGTTGCCAACGTACATGCAACGACAGCCCGTGTTCTGGCCAAATAACAGCTAGACTGAATTTGTGGAAGCTTTTGGGAGACCACACAGGGATGGGATGGGTTGGAGGGACTGCAGGGAGCATTAACAACCCGCTGGAGGGAGGGGAAGGTGCTCCAATAAAGCTGGGACCCAAATTCTTTCAGTACATTGCGACATCCCCAAAGGGCACGGCAGCGTCAGCATCTCAGCGATGCAGGACATGCCTTCGCCCTGCACCTTACCTTCACTGAAGACAAAATCCGCGGTGATGTCAAAGGGCTGGATGCGCACTTCCGACAGCAAGAGCTGCACAGATCTCTGGTGGTCGCTGGAGATGAGGGAGATGGTCTGCTGTGCCTGGCACTCGTAGGACCTCCCAGCTGGGGTGACCAGGGCAGACAGCTGGTGCGAGCTGGCCGTGTGCTTCCCGGCTGGCCAAGGTCAGAAACAGCAAAGATCAGGTCCTGTCTCTGGGGGACTGATGTGACTTTATTAACAAAGCTAATGAATGGAACACAAGGGTATGCAGGTGGTACGCGATGCAGCAGCCACACGCTCCACTACTCTTAAAGCAGCATTTCCTCCTAGGGTGGGACCATGCTTTTGGCATGACACCCCCACATAGCCAAGTCTGTTCCCATGCTGGGGTCTCCTGACTGCGAGCAGGAACAGACGGCTGCAGCGCGGGGTCCTGCCAGCACAAAAAGGAGAGCTGGCTCTGCTGCTGCCAGCTACACTCATGTCACTTTGGACAAAAGTCCAAAAAGTCAGAGGAATGGTTTCCTTTGTTCCGTCCTCAGACTGTGCTCTCCTACTCCCTACATTTGGGAAACAGCAATTCCTGTGGCTGCGCTTGGGCTCCATATTCAGGTGGGAAGGAGCAATGAAGTCTGGGGATCTCACTACAAAGCGTAACACCCTTCCTGAAAATAGAACATGACCGTTTCACTCAAGTATAGATTACAAGCAAATACCTTCCCACTGCACCAAGCTTGTTCTATACATGAATGCCAAATGAGGCTTAGCAAGGTGGAAGGAGGGATGCCTTCCACTTCCCGCTCTTCTGCAGCCCTTTGTTCCCCTCCAGCAGTACAGAAAGGTAATCACTGTTTTGCACTTGCAGAAGGTGACGAGACATGGCCACCACTGTGTTTTGGGCACACAAACAGTAAAACCACCAGTGGGAAAAATAGCTCAGCGTCCAGTGTGTCTTACACCACAAACTCTTAACGCACCATTCACCAGAGTTTGAAAATCTTGCGGAAGAACAACTTGCAAATGACAGTATTTCAATTTTCAATACAAGACAACTAATTTTTGAGCAGAAAGGAGATAAAAACAAACTGAAAGCCAAAAGAAAGGAAACACAGTGGAAAAAAAAGCAGGCTGTTGGCTACAGAGGCATGTAGGGGTATGGATCTTGATGCCTATCTCATCACTGTCTTGGGAAACCGCTGCTTCCCCACTTAATTCAACCATCATCAGACCCGAGGAGATAATTAACTTTAAAAAACATCTCCCGCAGGAAAGAGGACGAGATTTTCCCGACCAGGCAGACCCCTGCCCCGCTGCCCCCCCCCTCGGGCTCCTGGGTCCGCCGGGAGGGCCAGGGGCAGCACAGTAAAGGGGCAGAGGTTGGGCTCTCCCTCCCGCTGCAATTGCGGGGCATCAAAAACAAGATACGCGAATAAAAACGAAATAAATGAATACGCCGTTAAAACTGGCCCCTAGTTCCGGTTTTGTCGGGCGGGTTTGGGGTTTATTTTTTCCTTGTTAAAGAGTATTTAGCCGCGTAGCCCGCGGGGTGTCCATGCCCCCCCGGCTCCCCGCTCGCCAGACCCCAGGGATCTGCTGGAAATCCCGTGCCCCCGGGGCGCTTACGGCCGACGGCGTCCTTGAAGTAGGTGCGCTCGGCGGTGTCGTAGGTGAACTGGATCAGGCTGAGCCTCCAAAAAGTCTCCTGCCCCCGGGAGGTGTTGTGCCCCTCCTGC